CAGATGGCCCCAAAGGACCTCTCTGGCATCCCAGCAAAGGTGGTCAACCTGATTAAGAACTTATATGATGGCATACACTGTAGAGTGATCCATGGAGGGCAACTTACAACCAGCTTCCAGGTGTGAACCGGAGTCAGACAAGGATGCTTGTTGTCACCATTTCTCTTTCTCCTTGTCATTGATTGGATTATGAAGACATCCACTTATGAGCGTAGGAACGGAATCCAGTGGACGTTGTGGACCCAGCTTGATGACCTGGATTTTGCCGATGACCTTGCACTCCTTTCACATAGCAAACAGCAGATTCAAGAGAAGACTAACGTAGTGGCAGCCACGTCATTACAGGTTGGCCTCAACATCCACAAAGACAAGACCAAGATCCTCAAGATTAACTCCATCAGTAATGACCCAGTCACATTGAACGGAAGCCCTCTGGAAGAAGTGCAGTCCTTCACCGACCTAGGCAGCATCATCGACCAACAGGGTGGCATGGACGCAGACATCAAAGCAAGGATCGGTAAGGCAAGAGCAGCTTTCTTACAGCTCAAGAACATCTGGAGCTCTAGAGAGCTGTCTTTGGCAACAAAGATTTGACTGTTCAACTCCAACGTGAAATCAGTCTTATTGTATGGAGCTGAAACCCGGAGGATAACTAAAACAATCACCAGGAAGATCCAGGCCTTCATAAATAGTTGCCTTAGAAGGATTCTCCAGATCCGCTGGCCAGACACCATCAGCAACATCTACCTCTTGGAGAGGACCCGCCAACTTCCAGCAGAGGAAGAAATTAGAAGGAGAAGGTGGTTGGATAGGAGACACACTACGCAAGCAGCTAACCAACATCACTAGAAAGGCATTGCGGTGGAACCCCCAAGGCAAGCGGAAAAGATGCCGTCCAAGAAACACCTGGCGACGCGACCTTCAGGCTGATAGCATAAAAATGGCCTATACCTGGAACCAGCTAGAGCAAATGGCCCAGGATAAAGGACTCTGGAGATCTGTGGTTGGCGGCCCATACCCCAACTGGGGTGACGGGCATGAGTGAGTGATTTGTTTAAAAGGAAGACAGTGATATTGCATTGGCAAATTCCCCATAGAAAGAAAGAGTGGAACAAAAGAATAATAAAGGCACCTCAACTTTTCCTCATTTATGTAGGACAGTCTTTTAATATGTATCCAGATATCCTCCAATCACACAAGCTGAAAATTGTTCCACTTTACTGCAGTTCTGTAACCATATGGGAACCAATCCTGTCTGTGTTCTGTGCACATCCAATATTCCTGCTGAAAGACCCACCCTAGGAACGAGTTACCAGTGACCCAGGGCTGGGGTGGAAGGAGGGTGCAGGTGTGAAGGGGAGAGCCCAGGGCTGGGGCGGCAGGGGGGTGCGGGTTGGGGGGGGGAGGGGAGAGCCCAGGAATGGGGTGAGGGCAGCCAAATTTTTTTTTGCTTGAGGCGGCAAAAAACGTAGAGCTGGCCCTGTCTGGATAGGCAAGTCAAAAGTGTAGACTGTTCTCAGACTGTCTCCGCCATGCACTGATTGGCTCTCGCCACATCTCCCCTTTCTTGCTCCCTATTTTTCCCTCAGTCTCTTTACCTCAGTTCACTCCACAACTGCCTGTTCTTATCCTCTTCTCCCGGTCCCTATCCCTTTTCTTTCCATTTTGCTGATCCTCTCTTAAGGAAGCCCATCCACACTCCTGCCCCCCAAATTGTGGCATTAATTATTTGCCAACATCACATTGTTCACTCTGCTTTTGCGTTCTCCTGACTTCTCCCACACTCTCTGTCTTGTCCCTTTACACAATGCTTTCTCATTGTTTTGCTTGTAGTCCCCCCATCTATATCCATCTGTTGCCTCTTGTCTTATACTTAGATCATCAGCTCTTTGGGGCAAGGATTGTCTTTCTGTTCTGTGTTTGTACAGCACCTAGCAAAACTGGATCCTGGTCCCATGGGGCTCATATGCACTACAGTAACATAAATAAAACAAAGAAACAATAACAACAAGTTCCAAACTAGCCTCCACTATACTGACACAATAGCACCATTGTTTCCCTCTGGGAGCATGTTTGACCCCCACCGCTTACTGGCTTGCATGGGGTGTCATTTGAATATGTCCTGGCAATGCTTTCTTTATAGATTCAATCTCACATTTCTTTTTTCACACTGAATTTTTACTTTCCTGTGCTTTGATGTTTATGTCACTAGTTACACAGAACACCTATTTCAGCTCTAAAAAACCATGCTCATAAAAGGAGAAAGAAAGAAATCCCCAGTTCCTTGGAGGCAGTGTTTGAGAGGAACACACCCTCGAAGTCCCTCCATAGCATCCCACTGCAAGCTATCACAGATAACAAATGAGACATTTAGAGGATGATTGAACGCTATACAAGTGCTAACAATGGAGCAGCATTCAGTTGTTTAGCACAGGTGGTGGTGTAATTGTGATACATTGGAAAGCATCTCAGTATTCAGTGGTGCTCACCCTTCTACTTCCACATGGGTGGTGCGCTGAGCTAACATCAGCCTGCTGAGAGGATATATGAAACACAGAGGGAGGAAATATTGGCTGCCTGAAGAGGGTTTTTCCTCTCCTTCTGTGATATGAACTGCAGATAAGCCACTGGACTGCACCACGTGCCATGAAAAATGAGAGCCTTGTATGATCATTTATTTGTGTTACCGTAGCACCCTATTGTGCTGGGAGCTGTACAAATACAGAACAAATCCCTGGTTTCCAATATTCTCTCTCTCAGCATACAGAGAGAGCAACAGATATTTAGTCAACTGAACTCTATTCAGGGAATGCTCTACATCAAGTTAGTGGGAGCTTTGATTGAGTAAGGGGGCTGCAACATTTGTGAGGGGAAGAGACGAGGAAGATGCTCAGCTTTGGAAAGGCTTGTGCCTGCCTTACAGAAAGTGTAATCAATGGGGATCCTATTCTAAGCCATTCCGGTTCTCTTTCCATCCCTCTCCAGGCTCACAAAGTGGGGAAATTCCCTGGGGTACAGAGGGCAGCATTTGTTTCTTCCCTCACACACCCATTAGGGGCCCCAGCGGGATTGTGTAGGGGCACCTCTGTACCTACCATGGGCAACAGAGGGGGCCTTCTCTTTAGCTCTGCATGGTTCAGCATGAAGGTCAGCTATGGGAGGGGACTCAGAGATCCTCATTCACAGATCCTGTGGCACCACACAGAGGGACAGCAGATGGATTCTAACGTTCGCAGGCTGGAGTGGCAGCTATTGTGTGACTGCTGAACACATTTCTCCAAGCCCCTTCCATGCCAAACCTGAGCTGTGCTGGAGTGCAAGTTTCTTCAGCAAGCAAGATCGAATTTACTTTCCTTTAAGAAAGCAAAAAGAAACCATAGCTTGACATAAGGGAGTGGGGGGGAAGCCCGGTTCTCCATTTTGTACACCATAAAGTCCTGGTTCAGTAAACAGTAAAACACAAAATCCTGAAACCAGGTCTCTTCCGCCTTCAACTACTCACATTTATGTAAATAAAATTTGAACTGTCACAATTTGAATGGAGCAAAAAAACAAAACAAAAAAAATACCCATCTCCCACTGCTGATGTGGCAATGCAGCAAGATTTGCAGCATAGCCATTTTTGTTACTCACTGAGCTTGAATAGTCAGCAAGCCATTTTGGCAGCAGACAAATTGTACCCTGAAGGCAGTTAATTAATACAAGCTAATGGATCATATTCTATATGCCTAAAGTACTAAAACTCCTATAAACACATTTTGTTTCAGTAAGAACAAATCATGTAGAAGACATTTCTTTCCAGTAGGATTCCCTCCCACCCCCGATATGTTTTATTTCCTTATTGTGTCATTTCAGGGCTCTTACAAATTTTATACTAAATTCATTCTACAAGTTCCTGTACAATAATCAATACTTTTTTGCCTAATAAAAGTAGTTCATCGTATATGAACTGGTTTTCAGCTGATGCTGCGTCTAATGTATAAATATACCCACAGAAGGCATTTTGCAATATTTTGATGACTAAAAAAATCAATTTTTTTAAACATTAGTAAGAGAGAGAATATACTGGAGTCTTGCTTCAGAAATAACTGGCTTTCGATAGAGTTAAGAGTAAGCTTAGGTATAATTTTAGAACAGAGTCTATGGCTGCTTTAGATTTTTGTGTATACCCAGGGAGTTCCAGGCAGTAACATGCCAATAAACAGAATTATCAGCATATCAAAGGCATTATATTTATCAAGCCCTGCCACAGCACATTTAATAGCAGTATGATGGATGTTGTTGTAGCAAGCAAGGAACACTTTGATGTACATGGCCTTCTTTGATTAATGAGAGCTCCCGCTGAGAAGCTGCATATGGAGTAAATTACTCTTTTCAAAAATGGCTGATTTGCACTATTGTTCTAATTATTTCACAAGCTCAGGGTCAATTCCAAATCCAGTCACCAAAGGAAAACAAAACAAAACAAAACAAAAAATCCCTCTCCGCCCAATAACCTACATTTCCCAACTCAAACTAGAAAGGGCCAAGTTCTAATTATAGTAAAACCAATTTATGACTTATCCTTTCCCCCTCCCATGAAAAAGAACTGATAGACACTTCTTCCTCCACTGAACAGTTCTGTAATATAACCTCTTCATCTGTGCCTGTGAAATGAATTCAGATTTTCTTTATTAAATGCTGTTGTATTTTTCATCAACAGCATGGGAACTAAGGTCACATTTTAACCCACCCCACCCCAAACCAAAACATTTCCATCGGTATAACCACAATACCAAAAAGTGCACTTCTTAAAAGTGCCTTCTAGATTAATTCTACTAGCTAGTGAAACACTGCAAAATTTAAGTTATTCCATTAGCCCCAATTCTCTAAGTGTTTCTATGATGGGATGTGGTGCCTTAAGCAATTTATCCACTTAGTCTTTTAAAAAATATATATATATATATATATATATATATATATTTCGGAGCATTAGTACCATGTTACTTTTTAAACAAAGTTTTGAACAGTAAATATTTTATCATTTTAATTAAGTATGTTTGTAATCTTCAATTTGTTATTACAGATGGCTGCACTCGGATCTCACTTATCCTAGCAGAGACTGCT